CACACACACACACACACACACACACACACACAGAGAGAGAGAGAGAGAGAGAGAGAGAGAGAGAGAGAGAGAGAGAGAGAGAGAGAGAGAATCAAGGAAGAAGGAAGAATGAAAAGTAGCACACTGGCACGACGACTCACACTCTCACTTGGCCCGGTATACAAAAAAACATATCATTACGATTAAAAACAGCATTAAGCCCGGTACGCATTACCCCGACGCGTTTCCGGCGCACTCGGTAGACTCTTCAGGGGGTCTCCTCACAAATGTACGTAGATCTGTATCCCTCTCTTCCTTTTATACTTCCCGCAGTGAGCTCGTTCATGTCACTCTAACTATCCTGCCTCCATACTCCCTCTGTCTACTGGTACAACACTCCTCACTAACTCCTTCCCGGTATACCTCAATCCCTTCCCTCCTTCCCTATTGGTCCGTATTGGTGGCCCTCCGTTCAAGACTCTTCCCGCTCGTTCCTTGCCTCCACTGTCTCTTCCATCTCCTCCTCTGACGCAGGCTATACCCTCAGTCTCTTCTCCCCTTCTTCCCTCCATCTTCTTCCCTTCCCAATATGGCTACCCCTGTCGCGCCTCAGATGGCGGATTCTTCACAGAGCGAGAATCCCAGCGCCACTTACTAATGTCATCTATGTCCTCTCCAGCGAGCCAGACAGTCGATAATCGATCCAGGAAGCCCAGCGCCACCTTCTATTCTAGGCCTCGCACATTCGTCACTCACGAAGCTCCCTAACAGTGTTCTACAACGCAAAAACGGATTCTGCAGAAAAAATCCGACAAAAGATTTCTGAAAAATCCGAGAAAAATCCGAAACAGTCCGAAAGAACGATTCAAAACAGAGAAAAAATAAAGAAAGAAAAAATCATTTGAAAAAACGTACATCTTCCGGACCCGCAGGTTTGCTCGTTGCTCGGTACTCCCCGAATCCCATTTTTTCCGTGGTTCGGATCTCCCACCCCAACCCCATTTGACCATCTCTCATGGGGTAAAAAGCACATGTCTATTCAGATCCTCTTCACCTAATCCTAATATTGTACACTGTTCCCTTTTTCTCTCCTTTCTCCCTACCTACGCCCTCGGATCCCAACGTGTCTTATCTGCAAGAAATTCAGTCACTGGCATGGCAGGTACTTCACAACTCCGGAGTACATTCTGGAGAGTTGATCCCTCCAGAGACACCCGGAGAACTTAGCAAACTTAGCTAAGGCAGCAAGAGAGAGAGAGAGAGAGAGAGAGAGAGAGAGAGAGAGAGAGGAACGAGTAGCGGATGTGTCGGTAGACTTAATTCGTGGGAAAAAATGATAAGGAATGTGCAGCGTGGATGACGCTTTGCTGTTGCTGAGCAGGGGTGGGAAACCAGGCTGACGAGAACAAGTGACTGTACGAAGACTAAGGTTGCTCAACATCAAGTAATGTGCAACCCAAAATATAGTGCAAAAAAAAAAAAAAAAAAAAAAAAAGAAGTAGTGCATGGGGAGGTGTTCTTACATCCATCCTTTTGTGTGTGTCAGCCTCCAACGGCCAGGGGGCAAAACACAAAGACGACCTGGGCCGGTAGGGGTCAAACAGAAATAAATAGGGCCTGGGAAAAGTTGGCAAGTACCGGTACCGGGGCATTTTGCAAAGATGGACAGTACCTGGTAGGGGTATTTTGCAAATATGGCGGGTCCAACCAACGCTAGGGGCATTTTGCAAAACATTTTCTTATGTCACAAGGGTATTCCGCTCTACCCACATCTTTTAGGGGCATTTTGGCATACATCTCAACTTATAGGGTTATTTCGCAAATTATCCCTTTATTCTGCAATAATCATGAAGAATGCAAGGGACTACCCCCCTTTTGAAAAAACAGAAAGAAAAACAAAGCCATGTGGTCACCTACAAGCCCTTGCCCCCTAGCTTTTTTTTTTGTTGTTGTTTTGGGAAAACCGGTGGCCACTGGTAGACGGGGTGGTAAGAGCAACCCCCTCGCTAACAGTGCCCCCAGGGGCCAAGTCCCACTAGCAGCGTTGAGCTACCTCAACGCCTGAATCTGGACGTTTTTGCGGAGATGTGCGGAAATGGTGTTGAGTTTCCTGAACTGCACGTCTCCACAAACACGTCCAGTTTCGGGCGTTGAGTTAGCTCAACGCTGCTAGTGGGACTTGGCCCCAGTTGTGCCATCTATTGGTGGGGATCAGCACATGCTGGAAAACGGGTCCAGCGTCCCTTTAGCAGCAACAATTGTGATCCATAAAAACTATGAGCACACCAAGCCTTTGTACCTCCTACCTCTAAATTTGTTCAGTTTTTTCTTATCCCACCCCTCAATAACCTTATATCATTATTTTATATGTGGGTTATGCAGAGCCTTGGCGATCTCAGCGTCGAGACCCGCGATGGCAGTGCTCGTCCTAGTCACCATTCACGAGAGGAACGGAGTGCCGACGACATCGCATCGAACAACGAAAAAATTGGAACTCCAGAACTGGAAACGGCCAGAGAACGTGCCTTGAGGTAGGGTTCGCTTCACATTCATCTTTTTTGTTTTTGTTTTTTTACAGTAATTTACTAATTTACTAATTTCCTAATTTCCTAATTTAGTAATTAGTAATTAGCAATTAGTTAATCATCCTTCCCTAGGAAAGCAATCAACGCCGTTTTTTGGGCATCCACACCAGAAGGGGGAGGAGCGTGCGTGAGTATCTGCTGTAATTTTTCTGAATTGCCGGGGCATCCACACCAGAAGGGGGAGGAGCGTGCGTGAGTATCTGCTGTAATTTTTCTGAATTGCCGGGGGAATAGGAACCGGACTGACGCTCCCGAGAATGGAAAAGGTGGCAGAATCTTAAGGTTCTGTTTAAAAAAAAAAGGAAAAAAAAGAAAAAGAAAAAGGTAATTAGTAATTACTAATTACTAATTAGTTAATTAAATTATTTTAATTTGATTAATTTGTATGACATTGTGTGCACACTTTTCGGGTTTTGGCGGAATGATAAACCTGCACTCCGGATCAAGGGCCTCCATCCACTTCTCACCACATGCACAATAAACAAAAAATATGGCGGTGTATCTTTCCACGTTCTAGCGAAAGATTCGTTCTAATTTTGCACATTTGGTGAGTAATGGAGTGAGGCCCCAAACCCTATGTTTTTTTTTAGGGGTAACTTCGGCACAGTCACGAAAACAGTTTGCAATTGCACTTCAGGCAATCCCGCGAATACAACACACCCCCACGCGACCCCACCGGACCCGAAACGTAGGTCATATACATTCAGCATTACCGGCCCTTTTGCCTCAAGTGCAATTACAAACTCAATCCCTGACTGCGCCGTAGTTTTCTCTTTTTTTCAATTGTTAACCTGCGCTCCCTAGCGAATCCGGCATTATCTTTAACTGCCACTGAGTCAGTGTCTTGATTAAACTCGGGATTGCATCTGAAAAGAGTCAAAAGACATTATTTTATCCTCTAAGGTTCTAAACCACTAGTACCTTTGTAGGTTTGGAAAAATAGTGGGCCTCAGCGCTTTCCGAAACGAAACGAAACGAAACGATGGTCGCCGATCAGATTTATCAATGGCTCCTAAAAGTCCGGGAATAGGCTAAGGGCATGGCCACACCACTCTCGAAATGTGCAAAATGAGAATGAACTTCGTGCACCCGCCACATTTTTGTCTTTTCCACATTTCCAGAGTGGTGTGGCGAGGCCCTAAATCTTGCCGAAACGAAACGGCAAGGGTACTAGTGGTTTAATTTTTTTTTATTTTTTTTTTTAATCATGAACCTAGTCTCCTACTCCCCTGATGCTCTCTCTCTCTCTCTCTCTCTCTCTCTCTCTCTCTCTCTCTCTCTCTCTGCTTTTCCTTCCTCTCTCACATACTCCCCCACCATCCCATATCTTTTTTTTGCCTTATCGTACTCGTTCAGGGCTGAAACAGAGCTGCAGGCAGTGAAACTGCAAATCAGCACTCTTGATAGCGAGCTGATCCAGAGGGATGCAGCACTCAGAGATCTTGTGACAGCACTGCAGGTCAGGAAGCAAGCAAGCTGCCCAATGAAGGGTTTTCTTTTTTCTTTTCTCTTTTCTTTTTTCTTTTCTCTTTTCTTTTTCCCCCGGGTTCTCAACTTTTCAGTGGTTTCACTTTTTCCAAAGTTTTTCGGGGTTTTCAATGCCCGAGTGAACGAGGCAGAACTGCGCTTGGAAAAAAAAACAAAAAAAAACGGTGATGCTCCGCAGTTCCAGTTGTGTTGGTTATCTCAGTCTGTGGTTACCATGACACGAACTGATTCCGCCCCCCTCTTCTTCTTCTTCTTTTTCTTTATTTTTTTTTGAATCCCCCTCTTCTTTTTGACTAGAGGGAAAAAAAAAAAAAAAAAAAAAAAAAAAAAAACAAGACAAAACAAAACATTATGGAAGTTGTACACAGATAGACCCCTTGACGGAAGAAGGATTCGAAGAACCCCCGACATGCGAATTACGAATCCGCTGGTTTTTTTTCTAACCTACTAAACTACTCGGCCTTGAACCACTTGACATTTCCCCTGGTGGGGTTTGTTTTTCAACGCTACCCCAATGAACCTGGATGTGCAGACATCCAAATGCATGGTGTGCACCTGGATTTGCAGATGGTTAGGTGCTTTTGTCTTCTTTTCTCCCTCTTTTGGTCTGTTTCTTTTTTTTTTTGCTGCCAAGGTGTATTTTGACAGCACTTGTCCTCCTTTTTTTTTTCTTTCTAAGAAGCTAATCCTTTTGAAGCATGAGTACTTCCGAGGCACTTATCTCCGACCCTCGAAATGCCCTGCGCAGTGCGCACCAGAAAAAAAAAAAAACAAAGCAGCGCGGCCTCCTTTTGGCTGGTGCCGCCAGCCGTTTTGCTTCGGAGACCGAGGGGCTCGTTAGACACTCCTTGGGGTGTCCTCGGGGCCGGAAGAAGTTTCCTTGGGGGTTTTGAAGGAAATTCCCGCCCTCGTTCCACCTATCCTTGGGGTGGTCTCCCAAGGATGATTCCTTTCGGCCGCCGGCGGCGATTTTCATAATATTATAGTCAGCCGCGGGGGGGGGGGGATGCCTTGGTCCATTGGGGGATGTCTGTCTTGCTATGG